GGGCCCTGGAAAGGGACATGAGTGTGTGGCTTTGGGAGGATGATGGGATTGGTATTTGCCATGATGCATAGAGAGCTGGGTCTGGCCAAAATAACTTTCTCTCTTTTGATGAGATTACAAACAGGGCCAATATAGATAATAAAGTTGGTGTAATCATATGACTGCATGTTTGATGGCAATTTAATTAAGAAACTGCCAGCATGCAAAAAAAATCATCACAGTACACACTAAAAGGATTAAAATCCAACCAACAGGGCTCTGAAAAATAATTTCTTACAGACTAAGGGAAGCCTCAGTCCTTGGGGCTGCTGTTGCCCTTCCTTTCTTCATCTCCCACCAGTGTCTCTGCTGTGCTGGGCACAGCTGCATGTCCCCTGGGGCATGGATCTCTGGTCTTTGGCTGGAGGAGAGGGCACAGAGGAAGGAGAGCACAGGAGGAGAGGAAGAGCTGCTGGAAACATGATGCTGCCAGCAGAGGAGTCAACAAGCAGATGATAAAGGGAGCTGTAGGGAACAGAGAAATTAGATCAGCTGCAAGCACAGCATGAGGAAAGAAGCAGAAAGGGTTGATTTGAACCAGGGGAGCTGGTTGGGGTATGGGAAGAAGTCCCTCACAAGATGGTGAAATATTCTAGACTGTCAGGTCAGCTTAAATCAGCAGAGCAAAGTGAGAGCAGGTCTGGGGCTGCTGTGGGGAGGCTGTTCTGCACCCCTGGGATGGAGGGACCTGTGTGTGTCTGTGCAGCCCAGCAAACCCCGGCTGAAGCCTCCACCAGGAGGTTCTGGCCTTGTCAGGGGAGATGTGTCTCGATCCTCCCCAGGGGCCCTGCTGCTGTTGGTACAGGTAGATAGAAGCTGAGGGCAGTGAGCAAACCCTGAGCTGGGGCGAGCGGGGCTGCTGCATCCAAACCAGCCTGGCTGGTGGATCCAGAGGTCCTGGCAGCTGCCTCAGTCCCACAGAGACCTGATTGTCTCCTCTTGCTGCCCTGCTGCTCGCTCTAGGCAGGAGTGTGCTCTGAAACTTGATTTATGCAAAATCCAATTGCATTTCATAGCACAATTTAGCTCTGTTTCGCCCTTTCCTGTTTTAAGGTTGAATTACCCAAACCCTCTGCCTCTGCCACAATCCTCTGTATGAAGGTAGATTTGATATAGATAGAAGCGATCCATTTATTTACTTTATTGATGAGCCTTCTTACAATAGCACATGAGCTTGCAATGCACAAGTCTGCAGTTGCTATGTGAAAACAGGCTCCTTCTAAGCTTCCCCCCCCCCGCATAGAGTGAGTTGGTTTTAAAAGATATAGTATTAAGTCAGACTTCTTGCCTTCTAGAGGAATTGTTTCCAGACACTAGAGCAGAGAATTTAAGTGAAAATGCCTTTGGCATTAACACTTTGTAAGGATACAAAAGGAATAGTCACAGGCACAGAAACACTCTTAGTGCATCCTCAGACCAAGCTGCGGTGGCTGTTGATGAGCGGGCAGGTATCTCCAAAGGTAATGTTCTTCTTCCAGACCATGGGTTTACAGATGTCTCAAGGTTTTGCCTTTTCTAAGGCTTGTACACGTGGTGAGACAGATCCAAATGGGACTCGGGTGTGTCCTGGTCCCACTTCATCCTGGTTTCATAACTCCTGTGTGTGATTCTTCCTTCAGCCCCTTTTTCCTCATGTATCTGTAGCAGCTTGGGTGGTGGTGGCTGGCAGATGCTCAGCTGCAAAGGCAGCCCCTGTGTCCAGCTGTTCTGTGTCCAGCTGCCCTGGGGCAACAGCCCTGGCACCAGCAGAGGGGCAGTGGTGATGCTCTGGCAGTGATGATGATGCTCTGTCCCCACTTGCTGCCCTGTACCCGCTGGTCTCAGACATCCTCCTGGTTCTGTGTCTCCCAAAGCTCCTTCCCATATGTGGGAACCCCAAAGGGAATGGCAGAGCCCGGCTGGAGCTTGGCAGGTCACCTCTGTGCCACCTCCTCCCCAGCACTTGCCCTTCTCCTGCCTCAGAGATGCAGATTTTGAGTTGCTTTGTGGAGGAGAGGAGATAACCCGCAGAGCTGTTTGTGAACAGCACGCCAAGAATAATCACTTTGCTCTTGCCTCAATGTTGGGATGATAAATACACATGTAAATGTAGAAAATAGCAGAGATAAAATGGGTGACAAATGGGCTGTGCTACCTCCGCTCCCCAAGAGGGAATGTGGTGCTCACTGCATCCTTGCAAAGGCCAGGGATGATTTTATGCTCTGCTTTTATAACCATAGGATAATAAGGCTGCATAAGGAACTATGTAGTTTTAAATTCTGCCAAACATAAGTTATTTCTTTACCTTAGCTTTCATAAATCCCAACAAACACATAAATAAAGGTGTGAGGTGTTTTACAGAAGGCTGATGCTTCCTGCCTTTTAATGCTGACATTTGGACAACATTTATGGCACAGCTGAGTGCCACAGAAAAGAACATTAAAAATGATTGCTAAAATCTTGCCTTTTCATCTTACAAAAAAAACCAACAACACCAACAAAAAAACCCCACCAAAACCAAACAAACAAAACCAACAAAAACCCTGCAAAGTTTGTAACCTCTAAATTCAGGGGGCTGTGTGAGCTTACCTGGGGGAAGGGCTTTGTGACAGGGGAAGGATGACTGGAGGCTGGCTGCTCCGAGGGGTGCAAATGTTCTGTGAAGGAATTAAGCTGAAAAGCTCTGGCCACGTCACCTGTGTTTGACTCCCCTCCACTCCGGGGTGCGAGGGGCCACGGTGGCTCGTCCTGCCCCTTGCACAGGCAGGGACTCCCCAGGGTGCAAATCCCCACGAGGTGAGACCAGTCGAGCATCACTTCAGGCAGCAAGAAGGAGCACCCCAAATTCTGAGACTGACTTCACTCACCCATTGTTTGCATTTCAAACATTTGTTTTGTCATTTCTGAGTTATCATTCTCTGTCTGGGCTGGTCATCACTGATAGCTGAAGCTTTGGGATTTCCTGAGCTTGGCTCTGGCTCCAGCAGGGCACATTTTCTACATGCATGCAGGAAG